GAAGGAAGGAAGAAGGAGGAGGAAACAGCAGAGAGTGTTAGTAGTTCGTCGATAGAGAGTAGTGAAAAGTTTTTTTAGTTATAAAGTTTGCGAATGGACCACACTTACCACGCAACAGGAGAGAATGAACCCGAACCGTCATCTGCGAGGAAAAGAAGATGCAGCTTAACTCCTTGTGATGCACTCTCTGCGGCGCTTTTCCTCCTGATGATCTATCTCCCCAACGATGGGAGCACCGAATCCCATTCTGTGCAGCAAAATGGGAGCGGAGGATTCAGCCTCTCTTCTCGCCCGCTCAGCATCTAAGTTCCTCATCTGTATGCTCCGGCTCAAACAGGTATGGCTCTGGGTCTGTGTCCGCTACAAGAAACTCTTCAAAATCGCGTTCAAAGTCGTCCATTGCAGCTGCTATAGTCCGGAGATATTGCTAGGCTAAATAAACAGCTGAGTTTTGTTTACAGGTTACGCTGTCAGTCAGTGTGCGGGCTGGAGATTGGTGGAGCAGAGAGGGGAGGGGGGTCCCCACTCAGTATTGTAAACGAGTATGTGTGTAAAGTTATGGAGTGTGTCTGTTACGCCAGAAGAGTCAGAGTTTGGGACGGAGTCTTTTACCCCCTGGAGTGTTACTGGAGTTTTTGGAGTGCTCAAATAAACTGGCCTTTTTCCCGAACGCTCCTCTGGTCTCCTGCTCGTGAGGGATTCATTACAATATCGTAACATGGTTTAGATTTCTAAATAAACATTCACCTCATCGCTAGATAGAACTACTCCTGAAAAACTGCGCAAGGCTTTTTGTCCCTACGAGGCCACCGTCATTTACCCGACAGGAGGGGTGAGCGAGTGAGCCCTGCAATCTAGAATTTGACCACTGATGTCACTGTTTTCAACGGTTTTCAACCCATTTTACACACTGGCCCTTTAAAGCACTAAAAGAGAAAAATGTCCCTTGTTGCTGTTCTTTTATTATATATTATTAGATTATTATTATTACTTGTGCATTAATGTAAAAGCAGGATTTTACTGTTTTAGCTGGTGTTGAATTATTAACAAATGATTATTTTCATTTTGAATTCATCCGCTGATTATTTTCTCCATTAATCGATTGATTGGTTTGTAAACATCCTGAAAATAGTGAGAAATCGCTTTACTTTATAACAAAACATTATACTTCTGATAACTCTTTATATGTTTTGCATGCAAACATTTTAACTTGTAAGCTGTCAGACAAATACAGAGAAGTAAAAAGTACAATATTCCCCACTAAAATGTAGTAGAAACAGCATGAAATAAGAATACTCAAGTGAAGTTCAAGTACATGTAAAAAGTAAAGGTACTTGAATATATATAATTAGTTGCATCCCACCACTGAGTTTAATTTCTTATGTGGCTCATTTTAGCTGAATGCTCGCGTCAAATGGAAGAGAGAGAGAGTCTCATCTCCCAGCTGACGAGAGGAAAACAGGGATTCACCACACAGATTGATGAGCTGAAAAGACTGATCGAGGAGGAAACAAAGGTAATCAGAGGTTTGCAAACACTGGCACTTCTTCTTCTGCGTCACTTGTCTTGGCTCATGACGTTCCTCATTGATGTCTTCCTCGATAGGCAAAAAACGCCCTGGCTCACAGTTTACAGTCGGCCCGTCATGACTGTGACCTCCTGCGAGAGCAGTATGAGGAGGAGCAGGAGGCCAAAGCTGAGCTGCAGCGCAGTTTGTCCAAAGCAAACACTGAGGTGGCTCTGTGGAGGAACAAATATGAGACTGATGCCATCCAACGCACCGAGGAGCTGGAGGAAGCAAAGTAATTATACACTGAGATTAAATCAATACATCAGGCTAATGCTGGCTAAAAGTAAATATTAGATAGCAAACAGTTCCTTATGTGATGAAGAGTAAAAGAGTGCACATTATATTTAATTTATTTTGATTAACATTAAAGATAGTTTTTTTTTCTATTGATTCTGATTTCAATACACACTTCATTTTGTGGGTTTATAAGTAGAATAATCTAATAATCATCCAATAAAATTCAACAATGTTTGAGGAGGTTTATTGGAAAGGATGCTGTAATTTTTTACTAATAATGAAAATAAAGACAGTGTTTATTTGGATGACTACCAGTTAATAATTCCAATTAATTGCTAGCACAGCTGAGCAAACTAAAATATTAAATGTTTCTGTAGGCAAGCATGTACGCTATGAAGGACAATGTTTCCAGTTATAATTGAACAATGACTAAATATTTAAAATTGATTTTTTTTTTTTTTTCTGGAATTAATTTCCGGAAACTGGTTTTAAACTCAACACAACAAATTAAATTCTGGCTAAAATAGCTGCAACAATAAAACTGTATTTCTCTCTATTTTTTAAGTGTTATATAATATTGTTATTTCCAGCAAACAAGAAAATCATTAGGAAATAACAGACACATAAAATAAAGCTTTACTTTCAGAGAAAGTTCCTTATAAAGAAAGCTGTGTGTTGTTTACACAGATAATAATGAAAATAAGGTTGGTGTTTATTTGGCACAGTACATATTGATTTATTCCAGTTAGTTGCTTGCGCAAACTACGGAGTCTTCACAGCTCAACATTCAACAATACAAAATGTTCCTACAGGCAATCATTCAGTCCAGTATATACTGCATGAGGGATAATATCTTCAATAATATTTGAACAGTGACTTTTGTAATAAAATAACATTTTTCTTTATTTTTCAAGTAAGATATTATATTTTTATTTCCATTAAACTTCCAAGGAAATTATTCGGAATTTACAGACCTGTAAAATACAGCATTACCTGTCAAAAACACTGATATCCGTCATACTGGTTGTATTCCAACACTGACTTTATCTTAAGTCCCTTACAAAGTTCATTCCTGACAGGAAAAAGCTCGCCCAGCGCCTCCAAGAGGCTGAAGAACATATTGAAGCAGTGAACTCAAAGTGTGCCTCGCTGGAGAAAACTAAACAGAGACTTCAGAATGAGATGGAGGATCTCATGGTGGATGTGGAAAGGTCCAACAGCTTAGCTGCCACCCTCGACAAGAAGCAGAGAAGCTTTGACAAGGTATTGTGCATTACACCAAATACAGTAGATGAGATCTTTATTTCACATCATTAATTATGAGTAGCTAATGTTTCAATGAATTCAGGTCGTAGCTGAGTGGAAGCAGAAGTACGAGGAGTCTCAGGCTGAGCTGGAAAGCTCTCAGAAAGAGTCTCGATCTCTGAGCACTGAGCTTTTCAAACTGAAGAACTCCTACGAAGAAGCACTGGATCATCTGGAGACCATGAAAAGGGAAAATAAAAACCTGCAACGTGAGTGAAATGTTATTGTGAGAAAATGAAAGTTTGTGTGAAACATTTTTAAATCAATGATTGATTTTGAAAACACAGAGGAGATCTCAGACTTGACGGAGCAACTCGTGGAGGCCGGCAAGACAATTCATGAGCTGGAGAAGTTCAAGAAGCAGGTGGAGACAGAAAAATATGACATGCAAACCTCCCTTGAAGAAGCTGAGGTATGGCTGATAACACACCATCAAATGCTTCCTCACTGAAAACATGGCACAAAGCATTGGTGTAATTAACCACTGATGTGTTTAAAGGCTTCCCTGGAGCAAGAGGAGTCCAAGATCCTGCGTCTGCAGATGGAGCTGAACCAGTTAAAGGCTGAAGTTGACAGAAAAGTAGCGGAGAAAGACGAGGAGATCGACCAGCTGAAGAGAAACAACCAGAGAGTGATGGAGTCCATGCAGGCCACACTGGACGCAGAGGTCTGCAGCAGAAATGACGCCCTGAGGGTGAAGAAGAAGATGGAGGGCGACCTCAATGAGATGGAGATCCAGCTGAGTCATGCTAACAGGCAGGCGGCCGAGGCTCAGAAGCAACTGAGGAATGTTCAAGGGCAACTCAAGGTACATAGCATAGAGTTAAAGCAGGAATATGTAGCTTTTAAAAGAGGAGGTAACTTAATCTTCCTCTTGCAAATGAAAAGTTTATGAGCCAAAAATTGGACCATTGCTCATGACCATGAAATGTTTTTGCATGAAAAAATTACTGAAACAATGTTCAAAAAACTTGCCAGTTAAGTCCCTGCCAGTAGACTGATCAACTAATTGTTTCAGCTGTACTTATACATTTCCATGTGTTGTACAGAAAACTTGATTTGTAAAATAACTCAAGACTAAAGCTGTCAAATTATTTTAGTGAAGTAATACATATGAAGTGCCATGAGAAAATACTCAAGTCAAGTAAAACTATTTCAAATTTGTACTTAAGAACACTATTTGAGTAAATGTACTTGTTAAATTACACGACTGCAATGGACAAATGCATTTTTAGGACGCCCAGATCCACCTGGATGACTCTGTCAGAGGGCAAGATGATATGAAGGAGCAGGTTGCCATGATGGAGCGTAGGACGGCCTTGCTGCAGGCCGAGGTTGAAGAGCTTCGGGCCGTCGTGGAACAAACAGAGCGGAGCCGCAAACTGTCTGAGCAGGAACTGGTTGATGCCAGCGAGCGCGCAGGCCTTCTGCATTCTCAGGTAGGTTGTTTACAAGTATCAAACTCATTGAACAAAACCTCCTTTGATTTGGAGAAGTCACATCTCTTTCATCTCTGGCAGAACACCAGTCTACTAAACACCAAAAAGAAGCTTGAGGCGGATGTAACTCAGCTTCACAGTGAGATAGACGACGCTGTTCAAGAGGCCAGGAATGCTGAGGAGAAGGCTAAGAAGGCCATCACTGATGTAAGGTGCTCTTCCAGGGCTTTCATGCTGGTTAACACAGACTTCATGGAATTAAAATACTCCTGTTGTGTTACCTCTAGGCTGCCATGATGGCTGAAGAGCTGAGGAAGGAACAGGACACCAGCGCGCACCTGGAGAGGATGAAGAAGAACCTGGAAGTGACGGTGAAAGACCTGCAGCACCGACTAGACGAGGCAGAAAACTTGGCTATGAAGGGTGGAAAGAAACAGCTTCAGAAACTGGAGGCAAGAGTATGTATACTGTATCTAGTGACATATTATAGAATATTAGTAATAACAGAAAATGTTTATGAATTAGTAATCTGCACTAAAATGAGACATGATGTCTGATGACATGATGGAGAACCTGGATCTTATCAGGGGATATCCAGACTACTTACAAGGTCTCATTTCAGTTTTAATAACTGAGTTATTAAAACTGATTTAATTCAAATACATTTATGGATTTAAATGCTATTTTTTGCAGCATTGTTTAAAGTTGATATGTGCATGCATAATTTATATTTGACTGCAGCTGCACAACCAAATTCCTCTCAGTCCCAGGTTGTCAAATACCAACATTTTGTTTCACCCCTCTGCGTCTCATAGCGATGCAAAGGGCACTCTTTAGCTTATCTATGTGTTGCACAGGTGAAACCCATTGAAACATGGTAATGGTCATGGTTAGGTTTTGGCAACAAAACTGCTTGGTTAGGTTTAGTAAAAATATAATGTTTGGGCTAGAATAAGTATGTTTCTTATGTAATAATAACGTGTTACGTCACGTGAGTTGGACAGTACATCCAAAGTTCAAAACGCCATGCCTACAGGAATTTCGTAACCAATTATCGGAAAATTGCATTTCATGAAGAAAGAAATAATAAGTGGCTTATTTTCTCACTTACATTTCTTGTTCTTGTGAACAAGTGAACATCACAATGTTTCAGTTCTACCCAATGAATTTTTCCTAATCTTCTCCGTACGTCAGCAAACAGGATAAGTGACGTGTCGCTTGCTTAAAAAATGCTGCCCTGGCTCTATTATCGTAAAGCTTCACACACCTCCAGCCTATTTTCAGAGCAACAACAAGCTGTTTCCTAGGCTCGATCAGGGCTCAATTGTTGGTCCCCGAAATGTTATTGTTGCTGGTAGTATATCTGGACAGTTTTAGTGTGGGGTAATTTGCTCATTGTATGTTAGGCAGAAGTGTTATCAATATGTGTTATGTACCAAAAATGGTGACAGTTGGTTGAAATTTGAACCTTCTTAGAACTGATAAAAATATGTTCCTGTGGCCACATGTTGGTTGTAGCAGATTGGAGACAAAAACTGTTACCCTGAACATTAGCACTTTGTTTGGATAGTCCATTTCCAGATAGTTTATTGAGTATTTGTAACATTTCAACAGCTTATTAGATTCAACAATTCAACGTTTGCTTTCTTCTGTAGACCTATGCTGTAAAGGTTGAGTGAATAGTTCAAGCTCAACTAAATTATTTTGAGAATATGTAGGCATGGTCTTAATTGTGACATAGACTCTACAGATAATACAGTTCTCTTTCAACACGATTGTTTTCTACCATTGATTATCCAGTGCATCTGCTGGAAGATAGTTTAGTCCTGCATAATTCAATCATAGCTCCTGAATCCTCCGCATATTCTCCATTTTGTTTTAATCATAATTTTACCCCATCTCAGTCTGGCCAAGCCTTTACTTGTGGAAGAATAAAGGGCTAACAACTATTGCAGATTTATACATAAATAATCATTTTGCATCTTTTACTGAGCTGAAAGAACCTTTTTTTCCTCAAACCCATTTTTTATTAACAAGTCAGACACTTTGTTAAAAATAATCTTAAAAACTTTGAAAACCAACCAAAGGCACATTCTTTTTATTTTTTGATGAAACATCCTGGCTCTAAAAGTCTTGACTCTAAATTTGTGTTCTTGTTTTCTAATGTGACTGTCGTTTCGTCAAACCATTTCAAATCTGCATGGGAGGCAGATGTTGGTGTGGAGTTGACTGAGGAGGTGTGGAAAGAGGGGATGAAGAGGATCCATCTAAGCTTAATTAATGCTAGACTGCAGTTGATTCAGTTCAAAGTCATGCACAGATTACATTATTCCAAACACTGACAAAATGTGTTCTTACATATCTGCTATCTGTGACAGATGTAGCTTAGCAAAAGGTACTCTAGGTCATGATTTCTGTTTTTTTCCTGAGATTGTTCCTTTTTGGCAGTATATCTTCTCTTGGTATTGTTATATTTACAACATTTAGACTGAACTTGACCCATTAAGTGCCCTGTTTGGTTGTTCTGAAGCTTCTCTTGCTCTGCCACATACTGCACACAAGTCTGTGATGGTTGGCATGTAATAATAAAGAGGACTATTCCTAAGGAATGGAAGGCTACCAGTGCTCCTTGTTTCTCTAGATGGCTGAGGGAACTAGTCTCAGGGACTCACCATGAGAGACTTCGATATAACAAACTGAGTTTGTATGATAAATTAGAGAGTATTTGGGGCCCAGTAGTTAGGCACCTTTATTCACCATCTAATAGCTCAAGTCCCCACTGTGAGTCACCATGCTTTGTTATTCTTGGCCATTTTTCCTGTCTGTTTACTTTGGTCAAGTTTTTTTTTGTTTTGTTTTGTTTTGGGTTGTTTATTCATGTGCGTCGAGTATGTCTGTTAGTCTGTTTGTATATGTATATTTTTTTAGATATGAAGTGCATGTAACCCACAGACTACAATAGTACAACATGTCTAACCACTGAAAGTTAAAAGGTATCTGTCAGCTGACAAATCTGACTTAACCACTTCAACAAAAAATCCTAATAAAAACCCTAGAGACTTATTATAACATTAATATGCTTAAAATCATAGAAAATATCCTAAACTGTGCTCTTCAGGTCCGTGAGCTGGAAAATGAGCTGGAAGCAGAGCAGAAACGCTCTTCAGAGGCTGTCAAAGGAATCCGTAAATATGAGAGGAGAGTCAAGGAGCTAAGCTATCAGGTAAAGCTACAACAACTCACTAACTTTGTCATTAAGTCATTGAACCTCTGAGCATTTCAGTGCGATATTGTTGTTGTAAAAATAATCCAATCATGATAGACAGAATCCAGAAGCTTCTCTTTGCGTCTTTCAGTCTGAGGAAGACAAGAAAAATAACATCCGCCTGCAGGATTTGGTCGACAAGCTCCAGATGAAAATGAAGGCCTACAAACGCCACGCTGAGGAAGCTGTGAGTCCATCACATTAAAATCTATTTAATCATGTGTCACATCATCAATACCAGTGCAGGAATGTAACTAAGTACATTTACTCAAGTAATGTACTAAAGCACAAGTTAGAGGTACTTCTACCTTACTTGAATAAAAAATCCAACATACACATTCATGCAGCAGGTGATACTTGTCTCAAAACACTGACAGGGAACATTTTACTGCACAATAAGTACTTTTACTTCTGATACTTTCACTGAAGTAAAGGATCTGAATACTTCATCCACCACTGAATAATACATTCAACATGATGCGTTTCCAGGAGGAGCAGTCTAACATGCAAATGGCGAGATTCAGGAAGGCTCAGCATGATCTGGAGGAGGCTGAAGAAAGAGCTGATGTGGCTGAATCTCTGGCCAATAAGATGCGAGCAAAGAGCCGAGAAATTGGGACAAAGGTACTGAGTGTCTTTTATTTCATATGTACAGTAAATACTAACACTTAGCTGTTTCTGTGGAAGGAGAAGTGGGATATTTAGAAGCTGGAATGACCACTATGTGTAATGAAAGACAATAAACAAACTTGACATTTGTCCTTGTTGTCTGTTTGAGTGGAACTCACAGTGGTAGTTAATGACAAATAAATAAGGTAAATAATCAGAGTTTTATCCCATAAATACATTTTTTTTGGCTTCAATGATCAAAGCAGGTGATGGAAATTATAAAATGATGTATTAATATAAACTGCTTTTGCATCGTTCACAGGCACCAGAAGGACAGGGCGAGTAGCTGAACGTTGCACTTGAACTCTCTGAACACCAGCTGAGACTGAGAAATGTGCATGACAGAAGTGTAGAAGTGAAGTGAAGCAAATTATATAAAGTAGTTCATCATATCATATTCATATTATTGTGTGTTAACTCATATCAGTAAATCTTAGTAAAATAAATAACGCAATCATTAGACACCTAAGTTATTTATATATTTAACTAATCCAGTAGTGATGGAGAAGACAACATGAAATGTAGCTACAATACTAATGTCTCCAAATAATGATATTACACTAAATCTCCTGTGAGATAAATGATCAAAATAGGAATTTAATCGGTGCATAAAGGAAAAATAAAGAAAAACTATCCAATTGGTTTTAAAAGGCTATTATTATGAATGTATACAAGTGGTATATTAATTATGCATTATGTTTTAACAGCCTCCTCTGGGCCCTGGAGCCTCAAAGGCCACCAAAAGCTCCCTTTGTTGCAGTAACCTTATTAATTGAACTTTGTTTGAGGATATGAAATATCAAAGCACCATAAAATAACTGACAAGATTTGGTGATGACTCCTACTTTATTACCTGGTCTCGAGGCCCTGTTATAAAGAGGGTTCCGTTTCAGATCTAGTTGTAAACCCTTAATTACTTCAGATTACACTCTGCTCATATCGTGCATACATATAAATCAGTGTTTTTAATTGAACTACTAAACTATATTCAAGCATAAGAATACTGAACAGGGAACCGAGAGGGTTATTTGGGACTTCTTAACATGATAATCTGTCTGTTATGTTTAATATACACGACAAGAGCATTTAGTTATTCTGGTCGTATTTGTCTTTGTTCAGTCTTTTCCTCTATTGTTGGACTCACATGCATCTCATTTTCTCATTTCTTTAGGCGCTCTCACTGTCATAGTGTAGTTAATTTTCTGTTCTTGTCTTTGCTGTTGGTTTTTTTTAGAAATAAATGTGTGTAAAATTAAAGTTGATTTGTTCTGTGTTTGCTTGCTCACATTTCACTCACTGTGCTTCCTTTCAATACTCTAATAAATAAATCAAATAAAAATCACAATAATGGTTATATTCCTTTCTCTGTATTAAAACAATAAGTCAAAGAGCGAGATTTTTAGCGATTTTATTGAATTTAAGGCAACATTAATCCACTACCACAATGCAAACAATTCCTGGTGCTGATCATCATTTTTGCACCACTGCATATTTAAAGCCACCATCTGTAGAGTCTGAAGAATTTTCATTTGGCATCCTCCAGTGGTTGAATTCAGTTAGAAACTTAAGTGTGTTTCACTGAAAGGGTACATTTGCAGAAACAGATATTATATCTTTATTATACGAAAACGTTTTTTGTTTGTTTGTTCGTTCGTTTTGTCCACTTGAGGGAACATCAGCCAAACTGGTGTTGAGTTATTCATTCAAAGAAAAGCCTGTATCTGTTTTTGCAAATGAGCTCTTCACTTGTTTTTGTACTTTGCCAAAAGTTTTACAGCAATGCAGAATATTTGAAGGGAAAAAAAGTCACAAAAAAGTTTTTATGCTTAGATGAGGAGGAGACTGTGGTGTATCAATTCAAAACACAACAAAGAGTGATGGAAACAGACCTAGTAAATAAATAATGACAGACATGAAGAATGTGACTTAAACATCAGATCTGTGTGACACAATTAGGAGACTTTAACCTTATTCACACTACCACACGAAAAAGAAACAGAAAATTCATATGTCCGTCATGTTATCTACATGGTTTGACTTGCAATCTTCAGATTGCATCATCTTGTTGCACCTTCTTCTTCTTCTGCTATGGTATAATGGCACCTGACTGGAGAATTAGCTCCACCAACTGTTCATCTCAATTCATAGTAGCACTCAATTCCTAATATTTACTCAACAGCAGTGATTGAACACTATCACTTTACACGGGGATTTTTCAAACAAAAATGTAGGCCATCAAATTAATTTTAAAGATGCTGAGACCTCATGCACTTATACACATAATGGCTTTAAATGAATAAATAAACACATATTTGGTTAAGAGTATGTTGCACACTAGCTCAGCTTCAGAGACACAACAGACTGTCTTCATGGCAGCCACAGACTACTCTCCACTCTCTTTCGCCTGGTAGATGAGAAAAAGAGGAAGACATTATCAGTAATTATAAGATCCACTTTGTTGCCAGAAGCTGACTGACTCACCTTCCCCATGTCACGACTCTTCGCTCTCATCTTATTGATCTGGGACTCGGCGATGTCTGCGCGCTCTACAGCCTCATCCAGCTCGTGCTGCACCTTCCTCAGTTTCACCAGATGAGTGTTGGCCTGTTCTTCCTGTCATATACAACATAACTGATAAATTAGAAATCTCCAAATGCGACTGAAATCTATGTTTGAATCAGGAAACAAATGTTACTCACAGCTTCTTCAGCCTGCCTTTTGTACACTTTGACCTTCAGCTGGAATTTGTCCACGAGTTCCTGAAGTCTCATCATGTTCTTCCTGTCCTCATCAGACTGATGTTTGATAACGGGAGACAATAAGTTACAACTGATTGGTGGAAAGTAACCAAGCATATTTACTCAAGTTCTTTGAGTACAAATTCAATGCACTTATATAAGTATTTCATGCAACGTCATACGTCTACTCCACTACATCTCAGCATGGATGCATTGCTGGCACAGGCACAGGGGCCCAGAGTGTCAGTGGGCCACCTGGCCTTCAATTGCAAAATGTCAAATTTCAAATTAACACATGCCAACCAGGAAGAGACTCAAGATGATTACAAAGAGACACAAACCCACAAAAAGAAACCTGCATAATGACTACAAAAAGATGCAAAACCAATATAAAAGTCTGTGTGTCTTGCTCCTGTGTAGGAGAGGTGTGGGGCCCTTTGTCTCATCATCTCAGCCTCAGGAGTAAATATTGTACGTTTTACACAAATACATTTGTCTGACAGCTTTAGTCACTTTTACAGATTGCAAATTTTCATCCTCTTCCTGTCCAGTGAAAACCATGTACTTCCAACTTTGGATTTATATATATATTTTTTTGCTGATAAACTGAAGGATAAAGTGTTACTTTGTGTGTTGAGAAAATTCTCCTACTTCTTAAGCTAAATAAACTCCTTAAAAACCCTCTTGGATCAGCTGGAAAATGCATTATCACACAGCTGACAACTGGGCTGTTTTTGACACCATGAAAAGTTGACTTTATAGAGAGATGTGGTTCTGACAGGACAGTGATGCTGCAAACATATGATGATCTTATTGAATATGATGCATTGCTGTAGATTAATTAGTACAACCTTTAACATCTACAGCAGTAAAATGCAACATACACATTAAAGCAGCTGTAGTATGAATCCAAAAACATCATATTTAATAGGAAAACACTGACAGTGAACATTTACTACGTACAGTACTTAAAGGACATGTACTTTGTCCACTACTGCTGATCACTAAGAAGGAATCAGGTATGTTGTGAATTTACCTGATAGGTGAGCTCTTTAATCCTGCGCTCAAGTTTGCGAACCCCTTTCACAGCGTCTGACCCATGTCTTTGTTCAGCTTCGAGCTCGTTCTCCAGCTCTCGCACCTGCAAACAAGCATTTAAACCTTCTTAAATCGAATGCAAAGATAAAACAAGCTCTGGTCATCCAGGCCTGCGAGATCAATAGGCCCTGCTGCAGGAAACATCAATAGTTTTTACATGATGCTTTAAGAAACTAATTTTCCTGAAATAAATGGTTGAATAAAGTAGCAGGTTTTACAGAACCACAAAGATTTGAACAGATGATTTAATCAGGCAGGATTTATTGGGGATTAAAGTTTAATACATCACCCTCGCTTCCAGTTTTTGGAGTTGCTTCTTCCCACCCTTCATGGCCAGGCTCTCCGCCTCGTCGAGACTCTGCTGCAGGTCTTTCACAGTCGCCTCCAGGTTCTTCTTCATCCTCTCCAGGTGAGCACTGGTATCCTGCTCTTTCTTCAGCTCCTCGGCCATCATGGCAGCCTGGAAAAAATGTAATTCAAATATTGATTAGATTGCTGTTTAGGAAGTTAACACTTGAGCAAAATCCAGACACTTACATCAGTGATGGCTTTCTTGGCTTTCTCTTCAATGTTCCTGGATGCTTGAACAGTGTCATCCATCTCACCCTGAATGTGAGAAAGATCAGCCTCCAGCTTCTTCCGACTGTTGAGCAGGCTGGTGTTCTGTGAGAAATGTTATTATAAGAAAACTTACAAATGTTGTTTTACCACTGCCAAACAAACTGTGGTACAATTACTGAAAGAAAGGTCATGAATCAGTTTGGACACTTGCACCTATCTGGGTGAATGCACCACCCACTTTTTTCTAGTCTATCTGCCAAAGTCAGGTTCTGAATACATTTAAAGCAAGAAATAGATGATGTATTTGTACATATTTTGCACCTACTAAGCTTTGGGAGTTTGGAGATGCAGCTAGTTTCATTATTCTCTGACAAGTGCAGTACCACCTGTATGTGATCATGTTTTCCTAATTCTGTGGTGAATGTTTTCTGGGTTAAAGCTATAGTTGGTAGCTTTTATCACAATAACTTTTGTCATATTTTCTGAAATTATCACTAGATCCACAGAGTTGCACATGAGACAGGTAATCTGTTAAAAGAAAAATCACATTCCTCTGCTTCCTTGTAGTGCTTCTAGAGGAGTCTCTAAGGGTCTGTGCCCACATGGCATTTTTTTCTGAGTGCCAGAATATTTTTTCAATTGTTTCCAATGAGGAGAGAACATTTGTGGCTGCATGTGGCTGCCTAGAGAAAAAGTGCCGTGCCCTGCCTATTTTTCCAGAGTGCTCTGGCTGCTCCAAGCGCGTTGGTGTCATCACTGCCGCTGCTTTAGCTACTGTCTATCCAACTCTCACACCAAAGAGGGAAAAGCCCATTTGTGGGAGCACATTGGATAGACACTGAATGTTGCTGGTGAGTGTTTGCTTTTATCACCGTAAGCTTGTTGTTAGCCATGTACACTGTCTAAATCTACACAAATGTCCTGAGCTGTCTAAAGAACATAAAAACTTTATCTTCTTGACACAAAAACTCATCCCTCATGATCCTGACATTTTTTTATGTTAAGTCAACATTTTTTTTTAGTTTTGAGTTAATTTGACTTAATATTTAAAAGCCAATCTGAAATATTTTAAGGCCAATGAACAACACTGTAATTGTTCACTTAACATATACATTTTATAGTTCAATGAAATTTAAAAAATGGTTGCAAAAATGTGCACTTAATATTTTTATGTTCATATGACATAAATTTTGTTAAACTGACATAAAATTCCTGTCAGACAGAGGTCATGTGACTTTGTGTCTGGTGTACTACAAAACTTTTATGTTACTGTATTGCACTAAAAAGTTTTGAGTGTGAGCTGTTTCCAAAAAATGTTTAAATTGACTGAGCAAATTGGGGTTTTTAGGCAACCCTCTCTTAACGTAACCCACATTCTGTTACTGTATTGGCAATTTCTTGCCTCATATGTATTCAGAAACATAATTTAGTGTGCCATTTAGCTGTAAAAGGACAAAGTTAGCAGCCCAACCACCGAAAAAATGTCGAAACCGAACCGAAATGTCAAAAACAGCTAAGTGAAAACCAAGCATCGATTGGCTGAAGCAACATTCTCATTTTGCATTTAGACTGTTCACTAAAATATGTTTCTGAAAATATCTGAGGCCTAGTCAGTTTGACCACAGCTGACGAGCAATGACTGACATGATTGACAGCTGCATTCAAATCGCTTCAGCTCTGATTGGTTGGTTTCCTTTACATGTAGTAGATTCTAGCAAATGTAATGAGAAGAACTATGAGGAGGAAAAGGAACATGATATTTTTTTCAGATTATCTTGCCTTATTCACTACTGTCTAGATATAGTGACAGTTTCAGAAATATGACAAATAGTTATTGTTGTAAAAGTCACCAATTGTAGC